ACTCACCCCCTTCCTTGCACGGGGAGGGGTGGGTGGGGTGTTCCCTTCCTTGCCACCGGTTGGGGGTCAGGGCAGGGGGAACGGCAGGTGGAACTTCTGGTGCCTCATGAGATGGTTCTTGTGGACGAAGCTTTTCTCGCAGTCTCCGCACGGGTAGGGCTTCTCCTGCAGGTGGGTCTTCTGGTGTTCCCTGAGGTAGACCTTCTCCCGGAAGCTCCTCCCGCAGACCCAGCACATGAACGGCTTCTCTCCCGTGTGGATCCTCTGGTGGACCGTCAGGCTGCTCTTCCCGCGGAAGGCCTTCCCGCACTCCAGGCAGGCGAAGGGCTTCTCCCCCGTGTGGATCCTCTCGTGGTACTTCAGGGTCCGCTTGGCCCGGAAGGTCTTCCCGCATTCCTGGCACGGAAAAGGCTTCTCCCCGGAGTGGGTCCGCTGGTGGTCCCGCAGGTACATTTTTTCCCGGAAGCTCCTCCCGCACTCCCAGCAGATGAAGGGTTTCTCCCCCGTGTGGATGCTCTGGTGGACGGTCAGGCTGCTCTTGTCCCGGAAGGTCTTCCCACAGTCCGGGCACGGGTAGGGCTTCTCGCCCAGGTGGATCCTCCGGTGGTACCGCAAGGTCTTCCTGTCCCTAAAGGTCTTCCCGCACTCCTGGCAGGGGAAGGGCTTCTCCCCCCGTGTGGATCCGCTGGTGGCTGATGAGGTTGCTTTTCTGCACAAACGTTTTGCCGCACTCGTTGCACAGATAGGGCTTGACCCCGGTGTGGATCCTCTGGTGCAGGGTGAAGTGGCTCCTCGTCCGGAAGCTCCTCCCGCAGTCCTCGCAGCGGTAGGGCCTCTCCCCCGCGTGGATCCTCTGGTGGTCCCGGAGATAGTGCTTGTCCCGGAAGCTCTTCCCGCACTCCTGGCACACGCAGCGCTTCTCCCCCGTGTGGATCCTCTGGTGGACGATGAGCTTGCTCTTCTCCCGGAAGGACTTCCCGCACACCTCGCAGGCGAAGGGCTTCTCCCCCGTGTGGATCCTCTCGTGGACGCGGAGGTCACTCTTGTCCCGGAAGGCTTTCCCGCACTCGGCGCAGGCGTGAGGCTTGTCCCCCAGGTGGATGCTGCGCTGGTGCCGATCCAGTTCCTTCTTCCCCCGGAAGCACTGCTCGCACAGGGGGCACGGGTAAGGGCTGCCTGCCGGGACGGGAACCTCCAGCACGGGGAGCTGCTCCTCCACCTCGGCGCCTCTAGGAGGCTCGAGGCCTGGGCAGGATGAGGCCCCCAGCAGGCCTTTGGCCGGAAGGGCCGGCGGCTCCGCAGGGCCGCTCTCGTCGTCGGACGTGTTCCAGAACATTCCGTTCGAGGAAAGGAGGTAGAGATCATTTCCTGCGATGCAAGAAGATTGACAGAGCAAGGAGGTGAGGGGAGGCTGTTCTCTGTCAAAAACTCAGAGGCAGGGAGAGCTGCTTTTTGAGGACTACAACTCCCAGGACGCTCCAGCGAGCACAGCAGCAGCTGGCCCTGGAATGTAGCGTTCCCCCTCCCAAAAAAAACCCTCAAGCTTTTTATGGAGCTGCTTCCCTGTTCCTCTCCCCCTTGTGCAACGGGGGAACCACAGCTCTGAAAAGAAGCCAACCCGGGAGCCAGGTGGCCTGGAAGGAGAGGGTCCCGGGGGCATGGGATTACTCCGGAAAGGCCGGAGTCACCCCAAGAAGCTTGGAGGAGAGCATGGCCTGGCCCTGGGGCAACGGAGAGGCTGGGTTTCTCTGCCCTCCTCCACCCCTGCTCCTGAGCCCACTTTTCTGCCCGTTCGCCATGTGCCAGCAAAGCAACAGAAGGCATGGAAAGACTTTGGGGTATCTTGGCGTCGGGACAACCTCCAGTTCCTCCTTCAAACCTCCCTCCCAAGCGCTGAAAGAGGCAGCAATGTTTCCACTGAACCTCAGCAGAAATGTCTTGACGGGCAGGGCTGGGCGTCCTCGCCGAGATGGGCCCTCAGCTCACATGCACAGCTGCGCCCAACCTGCACCAAGCTGGCCGCTGGACCAGAACGGCGGTTCCCAACCTGGGGTCCCCAGATGTTCTCGGACTGCAACTCCCAGAAATCCTAGTGGTCCAGGCTTCTGGGAGTTTAAGAACACTCAGGGGGCCCAAGATCGGAAGCCCCTGGACTGGAAGGATCTGGCAAGGCCCTGTCCAGCCCAGTGGCCTCTTCCGATAAGGAGTAATCAGGGGGAATCTCGCCTTCCCACCGGCCAGGTGCTCTCAGGTGCCACCAACCCACAAGGAACTTCGGAGATTCTGTGCTAGACCAAAGGGTGAGAACGCCAGGAAGCTTTCTGCATTGAAGGACCAAAAAGGTGACATTTACCCAGCGAGATCAGCATCCTGTAATTCTCCATCATCACCTCCCAATGCAGCTCCCTCTGCCAGTCCTCCAGGATCTCCCATTCCTCTGGGGAGAAGGAGATGGCCACGTCCTCGAAGGTCAGCATCTCCTGCAAAGATACGCACACGTGGCCGGCCTTCAGTCCCATCAGCAGAGAAACAGGACAGGGCCCGGCCAGCTTTTCCTAAAGGATTTCAACAGACCTCAAGAGCATAATAAGAGGTGAACCCTCTACCAAACCACACCACAAACCACCAGCCAGCGAGAAAGACATGTTGGGGGGGGGGAGGCCGGTGAGCA